CAGACACAACTTCTGGAATGTTTTGAAAATAATGAACATGTGAAATACAGTTAAGAGTGTGTTTTAAATTACTGATATGTACAAACCTTCTTCTTTCTGTTCAGCTGTTCATCATTCAACTTATTCAGGTCCTGATTTGGATCGAGATCATAGTCTTTACTTATATTAGACACTGCTTCATCTATGCTTCGACCCTTCTGGGATTCCTGCAAAATCCTCAACATCTTTTCCATTCTCAGATCTGGAACCTGTTAATGAAAATTATGTAACCAAAGCTATAGCTAAGATTGTCCATCAAATCATGTAAATAATCCAAAATACCTTCATAGAAACTACACATAAAAACTAAAGGAAAGAATAGGTCTTAGCATCTCTATAAATGTATTCATAAAAAAAGGAGGAATTAAAAATCAAAATCAAAACATCTGATGCAGAACTGAACTGTTAGAGCAATTCTGCACAAGCAACAAAAATGAGGTAAAACACTTTCTGTCTGTGGGTTTAATAGAATGATACATGAGGCCATATACAAAGGTATTTCAATAAATGTGACAGTATGCAATATGACAATAAGCAGCTTTGACACCTATGGAGACATCAAAGCCACATGCACCAATACTTGCCAGGCACTGTCATTGTCATTATCCTGATCATTTTTTGTCATCATTATTCATCTTCATCATTATTTATCAGTATTATTATTTGTCATCATCTTTATTTGTCACCATCATTATCTGCCGTTATCATTATCTATTATCGTCATTATCTGTGGTCATCTTTGCTTATTGTCCTCAATGGCAGATATCCTCATTGTGTCATCCTCAATGTCTGTCATCCTCATTGTCTGTCATCCACATTGTATGTTATCATCTTTGCCTGTCACCATCATTGTTTGTCATCATTGTTTGTCATCATCACTGTCTGTCATCCTCATTATCTGCAATCATCATTATCTGTGATCATTATTGGTCATTATCTTATATTATCACATATGCCTCACCATAGATCTTTATGACATTGTATAATCTAAAAGGAATTCTTCATATATCTTATATGTTCCTTATATGACATCGTGATGTTCAGCTGAAAGTCTGTCAAAGAATGCTAAATGATTCCAAAAGTGCTTTTTTTTCTTTATTTCCTGTGTATGTTAAATCACTGCAAACCAAATACCTGCATTATCAATTTTCCCAATGGACCCATGACAAAATAACCAGTATATTTTGGATAGAGTTCTTTATTGCTTAATTTTGGAGTAAATACACCCTCGACTCATGTGTTTTTACTGCTCGTATCTGTTCATGTTTTTGTCACTCTTGCAGATTGGCCTTAAGCCGATTTATTTTCAAAGGGAATAAAAAAAACACTGTGTAAAAATTCATGTAAAGCAGCAAGTGTGAAAGAAGGTACATAGGAAAATTAATAGACAGATTAGTTACTGCATTTGACATTAGATTAGACACTTTAAAAAACGAATGACTCAAAAAATCACCCTAGTTCTTATATGCAAAGGTAGGGCTACCTTTCTTCTTGCTCTGCTGAAATAGATGTGTTTCTTATCCCTGTGCATCTTATATGCCATCAAAATGGTATATCCCCCGTAATTTTAAACAATTACAGCAAATCCATCCTGAACATATTATATAAATCAATCATTAGTATGCCATCCTAATCTTCAAAAGTAAATTTTGTAATAAATTACTAATGTAATAAATTACTAATGCCAGGGCTCTATTAGCACAGTCTGTCTCTGGTACCAAACTCGTCTCAGGAATTATCACCTTTTTTACCAGGTCTAGCCAAAATATTTTACAAGCTCGAAGATCTAGACCACAAGCATTCTGTTTCTTTAAAAAATCTATAATTGTCTAAGAAGTTTGTTCAGTAATATCATGCAGTTACAAAATCATTTAAAATAAGTCTCAGTACCAGAATCTTGGTTAAGAAATGGCTCTTATAATGAATTCAGTCTCCCAAAGGCTATTTTTTTCTTTTATTGAATATTTCTGATGTATGATATAAAACTTTCTTCTAAACTACTAACAATGTTTAAAAATACAAAACTATAAAACAAACCTTTTCCAAATGTTCTTTATGTCTTTCCTTCAGCTCCTTTAAAACCTTCTCCACAGTTCCATATTTGTTCAAAAACCTGATTGGCATTGTGCGCTGTCTCTCCCTCCCGTCAGCACTACGATAAATGAGGATAAGTGCAGGAGGCTGTGCACGGATACCCAGTTTCTGGGGCTCTATTCTAGCATCCATATTTTGGTAAATTCCATCTGCAAGAAGAAGTGCATTTTGAAATGTGTAACAAATCACTTTGGGCAAACTATGACTAGGAATAAATAAAACCATTTCATTCAAATTTCAGTCTCATTGGAATGTGTGTGTGTGTGTGTGTGTGTGTGTGTGTGTGTGTGTGTGTGTGTGTGTGTGTGTGTGTGTGTGTGTGTGTGTGTGTGTGTGTGTGTGTGTGTGTGTGTGTGTGAGGGGTGTG